AGGACGCCGATGGAATGTGGAGCCAAGTAGAGAACATTGGCAACTACATGGAGTTGGGGCCCACGGCATTCAGGAAATTGGGAACAGGAGGACCCTTGAGGACGTTGAGTTTTTTCGCACCCTCAGAGATGGAGGACTACTGGGAGATGAACTCCGAGGTTCCCATCAGGCCATATCCTGAAGAGAGAAGGAGAGAGCCTCAAGGAAGATTGGACTGGTCAGAGGACGAGAGAGATGGTGAGGAGGAGTTAGAAATGCAGCTGGAGGCCCAAGACATCGAGAAGATGGTGGTGGCTGACATGCCAGATGAGATCGAGCTCGATGAAGTGACCTACACCGAGAAGATGTCGGTGAAAGAGCTACAGATGGCCTGTAAAGAACGTGAGTTGCCGCACACAGGCAGCAAAAGAAGGCTGCTCGACAAGCTGTTCGCTTTCAAGATCAACATCGAAAACAAGCTGAAACTTTCCATTGCCAACAAGTTGTTCCAAGAGCAGCAGAGAAAACCCATGACCCTGGGACAGCCAAAGCTACCATCTTTGAAGGATCAAGAGGCACACTTTGTGACCCACATTCCCTACGCAGCATGGTGCCAAGCTTGCGTCGCCAGCCGAGCCAAAGAGGATAAGCATGAGCTGAGAGAGGAGAAACCCGATCTGGGACGAAACGTGATCCAGCTGGACTTCTTCTTCACCTACACCGGTGAGACAAGGTTGCAGAGAGGTCAGACCAGTATGGGACATGCCTCATCATTACCTCATCGGAGACTAAGGCAATCCACGTCGTGCCAATACCCTCGAAAGGATCTGAAAGTTAAAACTCTTCAAGAGATCCATGTGTGTTCCAAGGCGACTCGGAGAGGGCGATGCGACAGGTGCTCAGGACGGTGCAACAAGTCAAAACGGCGATGGGACTGCCTTGCGAGATCAGGTTGACAGGCAGCGGACAGCATGAGTCAAATGGCCAAGCAGAACGTGGAGTACAAACAGTACGAAAGCTGGCAAACTGCCTCAGATCATTTGAAGAGGGCAAAGCATTCATTCAGATAGCCGGCAGCTTCCACATGTATCCTTGGTCATTCCGCTACGCTTCGTTCCTGGTCAACAGGTTTCGAGTCCTGGACAAGATTGGACGTACAAGCTATGAGTTGGCAACAGGACACAGTTACCGGGGGAAGCTTGCATTGTTTGGAGAAAGTGTGATGTTTCGCAAGCTGACTCAATACAAAGGGAACGACATATTCCACAGAGGAGTTTGGGTTGGAAAGAACCAGTGGAACGACGCCCATGTCATCCTGACCCCCGAGGGAGCATTTGAGTCAAGAACAATTCGCAGGCTAGCCATGGAGGAGAGCTTCGTAGCTACAGATATGGTGATAGCCAAAGGTCTCCCGTGGAGCTATTCGCCTCAAGGCATCATGACGAAACGTGGTGGACAAGCCCAACGGTACAGACAACCAACTCTGGAGATGGATGCTACAGAGGAAGAGATGAGGGCAGTCACCGAGGCAGTTGCAGCAGGAGTTGTCACTCCAGCACCTGGATCGAAGGCTCAACCTACCACACCAGGTATGCCTAGTTTGCCAACTGCTGCACCAATGACACCTGCACCGACTTCGACAACACCCAGGACAAAGCGGGCAGGTGAACACGAGGAAGAAGGCACAGAAGCAAATGAAGGTGATGGAGAAGAAGGCGAAAAGAAGCAGAGGACAGAAAGAGGTGAAGATGTCAGCCAACCATCTGGGATCGTGAGGGAGAGAGAAGCTGATGAGCACGACAGGACAGCCACATCGTCGCCAAGCAAGATCCCAAGGCTGTACCCTCCTCAGTACGCTGGTGTGCAATCCATCGAGGCTCACGGAGATGAGGAGATGGGAGACGAATGGATTCCAGAGGATCTCACCGAGGAACTGCTTTATGCCACAGATGAAGCAGATGAGCCACACATCACCAGTGACGAGCATTTGATGATGATGGACAAGGAGGCCAGGGAAAATGAAGTGAGCCGACTCAAGAAGATCCCTGTGATGGAGGAGGCAAATGAAGATGATGTTCAGAGCTCAGGAGGATACATCATCTCAACGAAGTTTGTGGTATGCAGGAAGCATCGAGTGGAACAAGGAGGATGGTTCAGGAGAGCCCGACTGGTGGCACGACAGTTCAAGAACAGCGTGGACCTCGAACAGACGTTCGCGCCTACGTCGATGCTCGTAGTACCAAAACTCCTCATCCACCTGTTGCTGAACGTCTTCAAGGAGTTCACGGCAATGACCCTGGACATCAAAGATGCATTCCTCATGGCCGAGCAACCGAAGGAGGAACGAGCTTTTGTTGAGCTTGATGGCAAGATCTACCGCCTGATCAGGTGCTTGCCTGGCCAGAGAGCAGCCGCCTCACAATGGTTCAACTTGTTTGGACTCAGCCAGAACATCATGCAGCCCACGCTGCTCATGAAGCACCGAGAGATCTACATCACGGTGCATGTGGACGACGTGTTCATGGTGGGCAGAGAAGGAGCGCTGATGGACTTTGTCAACTTCCTGCAGGAGAAGATGAAATGGAATGTGGAGGCCAAAGGACCATTCCGCATGGGAGAAAGGTTTCATTACCTGAAGCGCGAGTTCAAGCTGCTGGAAGAACAGTGTGACATCCGATGCGACTACAAGCAATATGAAAGCATCTCAAAGGATGTCGATGTCTTCAAGAAAGCCTAGAGTCAGAGTTCGTGGCAATGGTAGGTGGCTGCTCAGATGGGCTACTTGTTCGCCACCTATGGATGGAGATGACCAAGGAGGAGCTCGAGATGAAAGTGAGGAGCGACAGCTCTGCAGCACGAGCCATGGTTCAACGACAGGGGATTGGCCGTGTAAGGCATTTAGATGCCGCCCTCCTTTGGATCCAACAGAAGGAGAAAGAAAAGGTTTTGGCAGTGAGCGCCATTCCTACAGAGCTCAACTCCGCAGACATCGGGACGAAGTCACTGACACGAAGAAGGCTCTTTGGGCTGCTCTACATGTTGAAGATGGTGGACAGCTCAGGAGACAGGATTGGAAGAGAGGAGTTCCAGGAGATGGAGCATCGAGAGCAAATGAAACGAGGCCTAAAGAAGGCCATGAAAGGAAAGAAGGACTTGCACATTGGCCTGCTGATGATGATGGCCAATATGGAGATGGCAGCAGGTTCAAAAGTGAATGGAAAGGATGATGAAGTGGAAAATGAATGGAGTTGGTGGGCATTTTGCTCACTGGCTTTGATCGGGGCCTTGAGCTTGGTGCATTGGCTGCGGCAAGGTTTTGTGCAGTATGCACTGAGGAAGTGCTTGCACTTCATGAATGAGATCATCGAGACGGCGATTATGAAGTACATGAACTACAAGGAAGATGAAAAGAAGAAGACGAAAGAGAAGTGTATCCAAGCCACGGAATGGCTGGAAGCTAAAGTGATCCAAAACTACAAGAAACAATTGGAAGAGCTGCAAGCTGAGGTGATTCGGTTGGAAACCTACGTGATCGAACTTGAAGAGAATGCAAAAGACCTCAGGCAGCAGAGAAACGATATCTACAGGCAGTTCAATCTGACAGACCAACACGGTCAGCGCCTGATGAGAGAGCGCCTTATGTATAGGACTACAAAAAGCAGCCAAATTAGGATCCATTTTGATCCAGAGTGTCAGCATTTTGCAACACTCGAACACACCCCTCTGTGCAGTAAATGCATGAACGGAGGGGGTGTGACAGAATTCCCTGACATGACATCCGTTCATGCAGGATGACACGCACAAACCGAAACATCTAGGCCCGAACATTTGTGGACAAGTCTGCATTCCGCTTTTCAAATTTCCAAGATGGACTGCCAAACCTTCTCGATTTGCGTTTTGCCGATGACATTGTATTATGTTGCCGCACCTTGTTGGAAACTTTGTCGGACATTGGCTTAGTTTTGGCTTGAGAGAGAACAATGATTTCGACAAATGAAGCAGCCTCCAACTTACCCAAATGAAAACTTGAAATGCTGGACTCAAGTGGTTGGGGTGCATACTTGGCGTGGGACGTGCAGGCCGCAGTTCCATGGATTTGCATCATCACCTTCAAGCTGCTTCCCGGGCTTTTCTGGCACACAAGAGAATACTTTGCGACAGGAAGGTTCGTTTGAAGGAGCGACTGCGTTTCTTTGATCGTGTGAATACTCTTGTTGTTGTATTCAGTGTTGGACATCGCACCCTTTATCAATCCGATTTATGCCACATGGATGTCATGCTTTGAAAATTGCTACCTATGGTGGTGGGTCTTCCTGGAAATTTGGATTGGCCAGGCCCTTGGCACGAAGTCCTGAAACGTTGGAACGGGAAAATTGAATTAATGGTGCATGCGCATGGCGCAAAGGCATGGTCACGCCGCTGTTTGGAACCGTACTGGAGGCTCAGATTGCACATTGGCAATTGCCCGCCGAACGATGGGCCAAACGAACTTTACAATGGACACCTCCGGGAACACGTGTGCCAGGATACCCTCGGCATGACTAAACTTCTAAAATTAATGTTTTCACTACGTATCGTCCAGCCGATGTCTGGCCAAATTTGGCATCAAGTTCTGCTATGTGGATGAGTTTTGAAGAAAACTTTGTTTCCTTTTGTGGACGTTGAATTGAGAGGTTATTTTATTGTACACTACGATGTAGATTTGCTCTTGTTTTTGGTCACCTGTGCCCGAACTTGGCCGCCCAAGTGGGCATACAGGTCTCACTCACTCATTCACTCACTCACATGTTCACATTTTCACGTCACAAACATGACTTGTTTTCGTAGGATTTCTGCAGTAAGAATATGCCCGCTGCATGCGGAGCTCACATTACAATTGTCGAAAAGTTGTGCAGCCCGTACAGTTGACAAGAAGGGCCAGGGCGGCTAGGGCAGCTAGGGTTGTGAGCTCAGATAGTCAGCCTAGACCCAAATTGCAAAAGAGAAGTCACTGAATACTGTAGATAAAAGGATGCATATTCACAAGGCAAGGGGTTCCTGGAGTGGCATGCGGTGCACGCTTCATGGCTGGTTTCAAGCTTCCTGGCCCAGAGCCAGCGCAGATTCTGGAGGGCCACGAAGGGGCAGTTTTAGCCTTGTCATGGACCAAAAACGGTCAGTACATCATGACAGCCTCACAGGACAAGTCTGTGAGACTTTGGAATCCGCATAGTGGCAAGCACATCAAGAAGTTTGCTGGCTGCCACAACCAGGAGGTAAACGATGTCTTGATCGCAGCAGACAACAGCAAGTTCGTATCATGCGGTTCTGACAAACTTATATTCCAATGGGATGTGACCTCTGGCCAGGTGGTGCGGAAATTTTCTGGGCACGACCGAAAGGTGAACGCCCTAGCGTTTGGCCCGAAGGAGGAGGTGTTGTTGAGTGCTTCCCACGACAAGACTGTGCGCATTTGGGACCTGCGAGCACGCAGCAACAAGCCGATCCAGGTCTTGACTGGTGCTGCCGACTCCGTTCTTTGCTTGATGACGCACCGTGATGAGATCATGACGGGCAGTGCAGATGGCGGCCTACGTAGCTATGATGTTCGCCAGGGTCAGCTGGTCACGGACCAGTTGCTGCAGCCCATCGGCAGCATTTCGGTCTCCAATGATGGTCAGTGCCTTTTGGTCTCCACCCTGGACAACCAGATTCGTTTGTTGGAGCATTCGGACGGCTCTGAGCTCACATCGTACTTTGGACATACGAACAAGCGAGTGAAAGTGAGAAGCACTTTAGATCCAACAGACTCCTTCGTGGTGAGTGGTTCTGAGGATGGTTGCCTGCACTTTTGGGAGTTGGTTGAAGCCACTCCATTGAGCGGTGGGCAAGGCGGGCAGCAAGGCCATGCTGCAGCCGTGCTTTGCGTGGCCTTCTACGAAGAAACCTTGGTCAGTGCTTCTGCCGATGGTGTAGTCAAAGTGTGGCGACCACCTAGTGGTTGCTGAGAAGCACTATGCAAGGCTGCAGAGCCCGTGCCAGTGTGAGAAAAGGGTTCGAGAGAGGGTGGGTTTGAACACTTGTATTGTACATTACAATATATTTACCGTATAGTTATTGTGTTTATCAATCTTCGTTCATGAGAAGGCTTCAACAATCTGCATTATTGTCCATTATATCACAAAGCTGATGAGTCATGAAGTTTTTGGACCCCTTAATTCCAGCTAGCTTGGTTTCTAGCATGTGAAGCATGTGATCATTTGACAGAGTCTTCCGAGAACACAAGACGCAGCTGGCAAGTTTTCATATTATGATCAAGTGCATAATTTTGGCCGCTTTCAAGATCTTTCTGTTGGGTGTTAAGACTCTACCAAGATTCTGTGACGCTTGGGTGAAAAAAAAAAACACACACACCCAAGGTTGACTGAGCATAACTGGAGCCTAGCCATCAACATAGGCCTGGCCCCTTGGACTTGGGCCTTCGCGACTTTCTGCCTGCTGGCGGCGCCCGGCTTTCCAACCCCGCCTTCGGTTAGGTGGATTTTTGGCGTGCTGCAGGGCCCTGGTTTTGGCCGTGGACTTTTTGTTTTTTTCCTTCTTGTCGGCACTTGCCACCCGGGAATGGCAGCCCCACAGCATGAACCCATTGATCTCACTAGCCCACCTCCGGCTGAAGACGGCATAGAACACGGCACCCCTCCCCGCCCACACGCGGACACCCTCTGCACCATCTGCCTGGGCTCAGCGCAAGCGACAACACTTGAACCCATCTTCAGGTGGCCACCCTGCGGTCACGTCTTCCACCTGACCTGCGTGGCGAATCTCCGGGCCCACAACCCCACTCCAACTTGCCCAGCATGCCGAAGCCCGTGGCACACCAACACGGAGACACACTTCCAGCAACTGTGCGCCCAACATGAGCTTCTGCTCCCAGAACCGGCCACCCGTGCCGGCCCACCGCCATCCCCCGCAGGCGTTTTGCCCTTATGTTGCCACCGGGTCCTCTTGCTCGACCCGACCCGAGCTGACAGGGATGACGCCTGGCGGGAGCTGCCCGAACGCCACATGCATTGGGCCCCACCCTGGGACCACACCAGCCAGCAATGGAGACCCGAGTGGACATGTCTTCGGTGCAACACCACGGTCACGCCGGAGCACCCCTTGCTACAACACGTCCCCGAACCACCCCACTGCCCCCACCATGGCCCAAGAACTTTGGTTTTAGATTTTCAACGAGGCGAGCGCGGGTGGGCTTGCACCCGAGGGACCGACATCCTACCTTGCACCCCTACCGCCTTGCCAACCCAGCCACCCACCACAACAGGAGCGGCCGCCCTGGCAACAATTGCACAACACACTGATGGTCCTGCAACAAGTGGCCGCCCAAGACGGCAGACAACTTTCCACCTTCGAAACCGACCTCCCGCGGGTGTTGGCCACAGCCGCGGGACCCCTACCACCAGCAACACGGATCCATCTGCCTTGGGCACTGAGCCGGATGACAGACGGTTCAGGATACACTCTTGCAGACCTACCTAGGGGAGCGGTTGGCAGCAGCAGCAGCAGCCGCCCTTGCAGACCAATGGAGGCGGACCAGGCCAGCAGAACCAGCAGAACCACCCGCACACCCCACCGCCCCAAACCACCCCTCACCCGCACCACCGACCAGCCACCACGACAACCCCGGCCCTCCAGACGAAAGCAGCACCAACAGCACCAGCAGTTCCTAACGCCCAGGGGCGACGACCCGGCACCACCAAACATACCGGTGGTTACAACCCCACCCAGCAGGCTGCCTGGGGTGGGAACCGCGTGGGCCTCCCTGCGCGACGTCGATTTAGATGCCACTTTGAAACAACAGTTCTGGCATTACCAGTCCCCACCAGCTTTCTTGCGAGGGAGGATACGACAGGCTCTTGTCTTCGCCCTCGAGGCCATCCTTGCCGCAGAGTCCCCGGCGGACCAAGCCCAAGCATGGAAACTTTGGATGCTGCTGCCTCGCATGCTCCTCCACCGCCAGCCTGGCACCCGCACGCTTCCCAAAGAGGCCTGATCGCCCAATTCCAAAATGGGGAATGGACGGCTTTGCTCCAACAAACCAACCCACCAACGGCAGCAGGCCAACACCAGCGCAACAGAGCCACCGAGCATGCCAACTCATCCACCAAGGCGAGTTGAGCGCAGCCAGGCAAGCACTCACAGCAACACCGCTGGCACTCCGTACCCGTGACACGTTGAATGAACTCCGGGACCCAGCTCGCCGACCAGCCAGCCAATACCAACCCATCGACCAAGACTTGCTCGACTTCACCCCTCCCACTGCCTTGCAGATCCCTGCTACCACCATCATCCGCATCCTCCGGCGAACCCGCAAAGGGGCCGCACCGGGGCCGTCCGGTCTCACTGCAGAGACGTTGCGGCTCCTACTGGATGACGAAGGCAGCACAAACACATTTGTCCAAGTTGCGCAGCAGCTCGGGACGCATCGTGGCATTGCAAAAGCCAAACGGTCGGGTCCGGGGAATCGTCATAGGCGACATCCTTCGCAGAGTCGTGTCGCGCAGCATCGCCCAACACTTCGCTTCCCCAATCCACCTAGCTTGTTCCCCACACAAGCCATTGTGCACGGCATCACCGTCGCGACCCAGGCCGATCCCCACCTGACAGTCCTCTCGGTCGATGGCATCGGGGCATACGACACCATCTCCAGAAACAGTATGCTGCGAGGCCTCCACGCCGTGCCTGATGCCAACCAGTGCTTGCCCTTCGTCCGGCTTTTCTACACCGAAGCCTCCCAATATGTGTGGCGTGATGCAACCGGCGAAGCACACACCGTCACTCAAGCCGAAGGCGGAGAACAAGGCGACCCGCTCATGCCAGCCTTGTTCGCGTTGGGTCAGCGATCCGCCTTGCAAGCTGTACAAGAGCACCTCCGACCTGGGGAGCACCTTTTTGCTTTCTTGGACGACATCTGCACACTGGTACAACCAGCCCGTGTCCGCCCAGTCTACGACCTTTTGGAACAGCATCTAAGTGCTACGGCCCATATCCAGCTCCATTGCGGCAAGACCAGAGTTTGGAATGCCTCCGGCGTGCAGCCGCCAGGTTTAACCAGCCTGGGGGCCGACGTGTGGGTCGGGGACCCGGGGTTGCCAGCAGCAGAGAAAGGCATGATCATTTTGGGGGCGCCCTTGGGATCTGACGTTTTCATCGGCCAGCACCTCAACAATCTTTCGGCCACCCATCAAGAGCTCCTGTCTCGTCTCCCAGAATTGCAAGACCTGCAGGCTTCTTGGCTCCTCCTGCTCTTTTGCGCCAGCCCGACCCCACCAATGCATCCCCAGCCATCCAAGCAGCAGTGGCCACTGCGCACGCCCTTCGGATTTGCGATTGGGAACGGGACACCCTCATCGGCCACAACGGGCCACCCCAGCCAACCCCGAGCCAGTGGGCCCCCAGCACCGAGGATGGCAGCAGCCCGCCGCCAAGGCCACCCACCAAGCCTGCAGGGCCGAGGTGTACAGCCACCTGCCCCCAGCCAGCCAAGCCCTTCTAGACTCCCAGTCCGGACCATATGCGAGCAGAGCATTCACCAGCATCCCCTACACCCCTGAGTCCACCTACTCGTCCGAACACTTTCGTTTGCTTATGCTTCGGAGACTCCGTCTGCCCCTCCCCCTTCCACCAGGACTTGTCGATGCCGTCGCACTCTTGACCCAATTGGCGACCATCGATCAGCTTGTGCACAGTCGGGGCTATTGCGCAGTCGCGGCGGGCCACTTGAACGAGCAGCAGCTCGCATTTGTCGTGAGGCCGGGGCCAGGGTGACCACCAACACCCGGGTAGCTGACTTGAACATACCCAATGTCCAAACCCTCGATGACCGCCGTATCGAAGTCATCGCCAATGGTTTGCCTTTGTGGGGGGGTGCCAAATCGCAGTCGACACCACCCTCCTCTCACCCGGGAGAGCCAACCCAGACATCGCCATGGCCGCTATGCAGGGGCGGCGTTGCACGACGCTCGCCGCAACAAAGAGCGGGTCTATCCAGAGCTCACCCGTGGCGGCCGCTGTCGCCTCGTCGTCCTGGGGATCGAAACCGGAGGATGGTGGAGCGAGGAAGCTTGCACCTTCCTCCACCTCCTGGCACAACACCGGGCACGACGAGCCACACCACTGCTCCGGCAAGCAGTCGCCAACCCAGCCGTCTGTCTCCCCTCCACCTAACCCACCCATTGGACTTTGCGAACCTGGGGACAGGCCAGGATAAAAACTGTCAACACGTCTGGGGACAGGCCAGCATAAAAACTTGCATAACCACTGTCACCCTTAGCCATCGACCGGATGCGCGGAAATTTTTTTTTGACATTTTTCCTTCAAGATGGTAAAAGGCCAGGAGTGGTACTGCATGAACATTTTCCATTCACACGCTGTTGTGAGTCGTCCTGTTGTTCTGTGTGCCAGAGAATTCTAAAGCTTCACTTCTGCGAACAACACTGCGTAAAATAAAGCTTGGACTTGTATCACCAAGAAACCTTCCAGACATGCAGCAGGAAATAGAGGCACCTCCTTTTGCAGAGCGTTCGGTCATGGAGCTTTGTCGTGAGGCTCTCAGCGGCCGAGCTGCGTACCAAGGCACCACAGACTTGAAGTACCTTCTGGTGCCTTACATGTTGGCAGAGGCAGGTGCCTTGTGGACACCTGTGCCCAAACTGGGCTGCCCAAGTGGGTATACAGGTCTCACTCGCTCACTGACAATGATTGGGGCTCAATCAGTGAGGGAAGTGTTCCATCGAAGCACCAATGCATGCTGCCAATTATCAAGCAACAAAAAGGCATCAGCAATGTGAAATCACCATTGTTGAAAACCAACTCCCAGAATCAAAAGCCGCGTTTTGCCATGGTGGGTGCCTGAGGTATGCGCAGCCCCGTTACATGCTGGCGTTGGCCCCGGCCATGTTTTTTCAAGTGCGGGAAATAAGTGGGACACTCTTTGTGGTTAGGCTGCAGCTGCGTCCTTTGCCCGGGCCTTAGCTGGCGGACAGACTTGTTTGGATACTTTTTCGGCGGGCTTGCTGTGGACATGGCAGATGTGGACCGACTGTGTGTAGCAAGCAGAACGCTTTAGAAAACAACATTTCGGATTATGACCTGGTAGGGGTTAGCTTGCGCAAAAATTCAGCCGAACAAAACACGATCATATGCACAGGAATCCATGGTGATGGCCCCACGCAAAATGCCATCGTGTGCGGCAACCTTGCAGATAAACAATCATTTCCGGAAACCCTTGCCAGTGCTGTGCACCCAACATTTCCCAACGATAAAGGAAAAACCGGATTGTGATTGCAAGTTGTTTGTCTTGCAACCTTCGCCGCACAACAGCTGGAACATGGCAGCGGGCAAACATGAACATGACGAGGACGCCGCCTAAATTTGCTGCAGTGTGTTGAGTGTGCTGTGGTGTTTGCTGTCATGACGGTAAACTATGGCTACCGATGATGCATTTGAGGGCCCAGGTCTTTTGCTTGAGGGGTCGGCAAGTCTTTTGTAGCCAATGGCTTCCCGCAGGAGGCCCGACCCGCTGCAGCAGACATCGCCAACATCGAGGCGTGAGTGAAGTGGCGGCATGTTCATTCATCGGACGAACCATTGCCAGATGCTTGTTTTCCAAGGCGTGTTGCAAAAGGCGAACCGTTAAAGTTGGTGAACTTGCTCCGTATCCGTATCTGTATCTGTATCTGTATGTAAAGTGTGTTAGGAAGTGCCAATCCGTTTGACCCATGACCGCGATGCTTCAGCATTTCACAGGTTGCCTGCGATTCTGATGAGCGCCTTGGTTGTTGAACATGAGCCATGGTCCATTAATCCATTCTTGCCAGCTGGGTTAGGAATAGTTTCAGTTGAACCAGTCAATTTGGGTGTGGTGTTAGTGCTCATAGCCCAAAGGCATGGATCAATGACATTGAGGGGTGACCATCCTACGGCGACCATCAGAACCACTGCAGAAGCATCATTAATCCTTCCAACATCACGTTGGAGAATGTGCTTTCTCGTCCAAATTGGTTCATCTGAACTTGGACTCGACGGCCCGTTCAAAGTTGTAGGTTTGTAGGCGCGAGTCGTGATTGACCAACAGTATGTTGACACGCATTCTTTCACCATTCATGCGCAGCAAAAACGTCATTTGCTCCTCGGTTCGGCAACTTAGATCAACTTAGGCAGTCCTTGGCGCGGAGGTTTTACGAGGTCTTTCGTGGCTACATGGCCGCAGTCCGATCGGAAGGCGACCCGCCCACGCAGAAGGTTTTGGATGATTTGAACCATGGCGGCATTTTTCCCCACTTGGATGAAAAGAACGCAATCCGGAGGTGCTCCCTGAGATGCATGTGGGCAAAAGTGCACAGGTCAGTCTCAAAGTCAAACATGTTTTTCGTCTTTCTTGCCTCTGAACATCCACACCCCCGCCGGATGGGCTTGGCGCGATGGGCCCAGGACGCAGGCGCTGAAACACATCGCAGCGCAGGTGATGCAGCTGCGACTCTTTTCTCCCAATGAGGAGTTGGATGACATCAGTATCTTGGGAAAGTGAGAAATCTGGACTTAGATCATTTTGTGAATTTATTATACACATAATCACACGCCGCCGTTTAGAATCTTACTGGAGGCTCGGATTGCACATTGGCAATTTGCCCGCCGAACGATGGGTCAAACGAACTTTGCAATGGACACCTCTGGGAGCACGTGTGGCAGGATATCCTCGGCATGACTAAACTTCTAAATTTAATGCTTTCTTTACGTATCGTCAAGCCGATGTCTGGCCAAATTTGGCATCAAATTCTGCTCTGTGGATGGGTTTTGAAGAACATTTTGTTTCTTTTTGTGGACGTTGAACTGAGAGGCTATTATTGTACACTACGATGTAGGTTTGCTCTTGTTTTCGGTCACCTGTGCCCAAACTTGGCCGCCCAAGTGGGCATACAGGTCTCACTCACTCATTCACTCACTCACATGTTCACATTTTCACGTCACAAACATGACTTGTTTTCGTAGGATTTGATTTGACATTTTTCCTTGAAGATGGCAAAAGGCCAGGAGTAGTACTGCATGAACATTTTCCTCTCACGCTGTTGTGAGTCCCCTCCTGTAGTTCTGTGTGCCAGAGAATTCTAAAACTTCACTTCTGCGAACAACACTGCGAGACCAAGAAAACTTCCAGACATGCAGCAGAAAATAGAGGCACCTCCTCCTGCACAGCATTCGGTTATGGAGCTTTGTCCCAGAGATGTGAGACTTTCAGCGGCCGAGCTGCCTACCAAGGCACCACAGACTTGAAGTACCTTCTGGTGCCTTACATGTTGGCAGAGGCTGGTGATGGGAACTTCTGTTCTGGAAAGGCATTGTTCTCCAAAAGGATCCTGCAGAGCCATGGGTTTGTTGTGGGGTAGGTTTCTTTTTTGAAGACTTTGAGTCGATTTGGAGTTCAGAGGCCGGAGCGTGTGTTCAGCTGAGGAGGTATTGACAAGGATCCATCACCCTCGCTCGCTTGGTAGTTGTGAAAGGCCACTTGAGTGGGCAGGTTGTGGCTGCCACACGGGAGATGGAGAAGCGGTTGCCAAGCTTGAGAGAGGCCCTCCTGTTTTGGCGTGCCCCGACACTGAAAAATTATTGAAACTTTCTCCATAGCACCTAATGGCATTGGGCCGCCTTCCCGCAAGGCAGGTCCGCTGAAACCGCATCAAACTGAGGTGCTTTTGCAGCAGACTGCCAGCGTTTGGGCGTTGGACATGACGACGATTACGCAGCAGTCGATCGCGAGCAGGCGGACGGTGAGGATTCATCTTCCAGCATCTGAAGTGGGGCTCTGTGCTGTGCAAGCTGGGCATGTATCAAACAAGACCCTGCATAGATTGATTCGCACTTCATGGAAGTGGCGCATAGAAAATAAGCGTGTTTTTGGGTTCCTTCTGGAGCGGATGTTCCATTTCTGAAAGGCGATGAAGCTGCAGGTAATCATGATTTGCCCTGAATCTTAAAGGTAAAAGGTCAGCTCAGACTTTCTTTGGGCTTGCCCTGGTAACTGCAATTGGTGCATGTCAGGAGCCTTCGGATCCTGCATCCAAAAGAGAAGAGAAGATTGCGCGGTACAAGCGTTGTAAAGAGCTGGATCAGAAAGTGTCATATTTGCTCCTGCACCGCATTGAGCATGTGGATGTATGTTAGAATAGGGGAGACCCTTGAACCAATATTGGGTTTAGTTTAGTCATCGCTTTGCCAGGAGGTCGGCCTGTCTGCGCCGGAGGGGGGAGAACAAGTGTATACAATGAGAGATGGGAGGAATCTTTGTACTGTAACAATATGTTTCATTGCTGGTGTTTGCTGCTCACTTTCAAAAATGTGTAAAATGCATCAGGGAATGCAAATGTGGCATCACCTGCATCTACCTCCGATTGGAAAAACTAACGCAACCCAGAAAACATCTTCAATGTATAATCGCAGAAATAACTACAAAACCACAAAGCATTGAAAGACACAAAAGCCAAAGCGCACAAACCAGTTATATTTTTTACGTGTTTTGTTTTTACATGTTTTCGGACACTCTTGGATGCTCCCCCCAAGACACCTAGATTTTTTTGTTTTTAATTATCCAAACAGTGTGGACACACTAGGGGTGTAAGCAGGTGTGCTTATAATTGTGTGTGCCGCACGGGCATGTCCGGCTAACTCCCTGCTATTTACAGCACATTCATGCCTCTCGACATCGTCAATGTGCATTTCAACTGCGCAGGCTCGCAGAATCTGGGGGCCGGCGGCGGCGACTGCGCTCTCCTTGTGGTGCCGTGCGCATTTTCGCACATGGTGGTCACTTTTCATGGCAGGCGCAAGGGAAACCTCATGTTTTGGTGCTCCAAAGTCGACTTTTCGTGACAGGTGCAAGGGATCGGAGCTGGTTTACTTCGAAATGCAGTTTTCGTGGCAGGTGCAGCACTTTGGACATGGTGGTGATCGTCGAATCGTGACTTTTGGACATGTGGCTCGTTTTGCAGATTTCGTGGCAGGCACAGCAGTCTGTGACCCTCGATGTGCAGATTTCGTGGCAGGTGCAGCACTTGGTGAACCTCAAAGTGCAGATTTCGTGGCAGGCGCAGCACTCTGTGAACCTCAAAGTGCAGATTTCGTGGCAGGCACAGCACTCTGTGACCCTCGATGTGCAGATTTCGTGGCAGGCACAGCACTTGATGAACCTCGAAGTGCAGATTTCATGGCAGGTACAGCGCTTGGTGAACCTCGAAGTGCAGATTTCGTGGCAGGCACAGCACTGTGAACCTCGAAGTGCGTATTTCGTGGCAGGCGCAGTACTTTGTGAACCTCGAAGTGCG